CTTGCGATGACTGCAATGAGGGGCGGGCTTGCAAGGACGGCAAACGGGCAGTGTGCGCACACCGGCCCGTTCGTCAGTTGTCGAACAAGCAGGCCACTCACTCGCCGAGAATCGTACGATTCCCGGCGGGTTTTCCAGCCTGCTTGTTCGATTGAAGACGTGCGACCGTACAGTAGAAACGGTCGCACGCCTTCCATACACTGCACGATTCTCGTACGATCGCGTGCAGTGTATGGACACCTTTATTTAAGTGATTTCTTGATTGCGAACAGTTGTGGCAGTAATCAGGCCTGGGTGTGGCTAGAGAAATTGAACTCAGGTGTGATAAACCACAGTTAAGTTATGTTTTAACAGGGGGGGCAAACACTTTTTCATACAGGGCCATGTGGGTTTGGATTTTGTTTTCCCTTAATAATAAAAACCTTCCTTATGGAAGTTTTCCCTTTACCTGTTTCGGAGACAACTGTAAAAAGCTTGGATTTCCAATCACTTTCTGTCTCAGTGACAAAATGGTGAACAAAACAGCTTGAAATCGCCCCAGGGGTGACACACACACACAAACAAAACCTGACAGGATTTCTAACCATTCCCCTTTCACTTTCATCCAAAGCAAAAGGAACAAGTTTTAAGTTTAGATTTTAGACTTTAAATGCACAAATTGAATGCGATTTAAAAAAAAAAACTTTGTGAGAGCGAAAATATTAAAACTCCATACCAGGGACTCTATCGGGCACATTGGACAAGTAAAAATATTTTAACAGGAATACTCTGCTTTTTAATTAAGATTGGAGTTTTTACTTGAAAAAAACAATTTCTGATAAAAAATATAGCAATATTTTTATGGGCTAGCAAAAATATCTATGGACTTGTTTACAAAATCTCCCTACTATTCCTGTCTTTGGGTAAAATGACCCTCTATCTTTTCAGATCTGGAGTGGCACAGGGAAGGAATAGTAAACCCCACCTGTAGTGGTTTATCAAATTCCTGCATTTTGGCTTTCAGCAGCTCGTTCTCCCTCTGCAGCTCGTAGATGACATCCTGGCTTGGTCTCTTCTCGATCGCATTCTTTAATTTCAGTGTCTGTTTCCGCTCCAATTTACAATCATCCTCAGCATTCATCAAGTTGTGCTTCAATTTTTCAATCTGAGTTCAAACAAAGATTAAAAAAGGACACTAGTTAATAGAAAAATACACCTGTTGCCAGGAAGATCAAGCCAGCTGTATAGCAGAAGTTAAGCACGAGAACCTTCATGTGCGTATGCATAGTTCTGCTAATAGGATTGTGCATAGCCATACATCTGTTTGCAGGTGCGTCCGTGTGCATGCACGTTCATTGCGAATTGTGGCACCAGGCACGCTATTTAAGGCTGAGACTTGCAGGACTCCAGTGCTAAAAGACCTTTAGCTGTACTTGATCCTGCATTTGATTCTGATCCTCTATTACCGACCCAGCTTGTCCCCTGACTCTTCTGTGGCTCTCCTCGATTGCGGTTCGTTTCTGTATTGACTTTAGCTTGCTTCCTGACTACGTTTATTCACTGCCACTTTGCACCTCGCTGTCTACAAGTTGCTCAGCCAGCCTGTACTGTGTTGCCACCAAGTTGCTGACTCTGGCCTGCACCTAAACTATTCTCATTAGTGACCTGCACCACCTGTTGCCTCCTGCCAAGAGAAGACTCTGTGTTCTCAAGTTTCCGTAACACCAGAGATATTACCCACCAGTACTTGTGCCACTTCTCTGTCCCTGCACTCTCTGTCCCACTAATAGGGGTGCTTGCAGTGGAGCAATAAAAGAGGCCATCCTTGTCATCTCAGGCTCCCATAAAAAGATACATAACATTATTTCTCAACCACTTGGAGCCTGAAAGGGGGATGCTAAATTGGAGGACCTCAGCCAGCAGATTGCTGCCCTATCACAGGCTGTCAAGGGTCTGCACGAAAAATATTTCCAGCTTGAAGGCTGGTGAGAATTCTTCTCACAGCCGTCACCTGCTACACCAGCTCCACCTCCCCTATCTACATCTGCTGCAGAAGCTCCAGTTCCAGTAGATGCATTTGTGATGCCACCACCCAAGCCTCACGTACCTACTCCAGAAAGATTAACTGGGGGCCGAGGCAAGTTCTATGGTTTTCAGAATGCATGTCAACTTTACTTCATGCTGCAAATACGTACATTCTCATCAGAAACCACCAAGGTGGGCTTTGTGATTTGGCTACTAATGGGTGCACAACAGGCCTTGGCACACTGCCTTCTAGAGCAGAACAGCCTTCTTTTGAACTCCATGTCATCTCTTTTAATTCAGCTGCCAATGCTGAATTAACTTTGCATGCCCTTTACGAGGACTGAAGGCCAGTAGAAGATTACATAGCAGAATTCAGGAGGTGGAGCTCCAACACTGAATAGAATAATGCTGCGTTTTGTTGTCAGTTCAACTTTAACCTCAAGGATGAACTTGCCTGTGTTAGGGTACCTGAGTTGCTAGAGGGACTTATCAGATTATCCATTCAAATTGATTGTGGCCTGAGAGAGCGCAAGTCTGAAAAGTCCAGTCATTTCCCTACAACATGGATACTGGGTTAAACATCCTCTTCCCTCTTACAGCCGTTCCATCTCAAAATGCTCCTGCTGCTGACCTACCAGAACCTATGCAGTTGGAACTTCTACATTCACCACTACCCCCATAGCAGAAGTGACAATGGAAGCAACATCACCTCTGCCTGTACTGCAGTAGGGCTGCACACTATGTGTAAAATTGCTACAGGTCCCTCAACTCATATTGCCCCGTTTCCCTACAGCTGCCAGAAGGAGTACTCCGAACCCAAGCCATCAATGACTCTGGTGCCTGTAGTTGCTTCATCAATCACCACTTCGCACAATAGCATCGCATTCCCCTACAGACCAAGTCTCAAAGACTCTCTGTCCACCTGGCTGATGGTACGAACATAAAATCTTGTCTCGTCACTCACGAAACATCTCCCATATCTGTTATTCTTATGCCTGGTCATAAAGAACTTCTTTTCAACTAGATGTTATTGCATTCCCCGTTTCCTGTCATTCTGGTTATGCCCTGGTTGCAAAGCTCACAATCCACAGATTAACTGGACTGCGGGCAAGGTGGTGATCCACTCTGCTCATTGTTTACAGAATTGTCTCATCCTGTTGCTGAGCCATCTGTGTCCCTATGTCATCTGAATACCAATTCTGACCTGAGCCAAATAGTTCCAAAGACCCATTATGACTTTTTGGATGTGTTAGACAAGCAGGACTCTGATACTCTCCCCCCTCACAGGACATATCCTATTGAACTTCTGCCAGGGGAAGAAATCCAATTTTGACAGATTTTTCCACTCTTAGAACAAGAACTTGAGGCTTTGCAGAAGTAGGTCGTCGAAAATTTTAAAAAATATATTCTTCCATCAACTTCCCCAGCTGGGGCTGGAATATTTTTTGTGGATCACACCTTCCAGCTATGTGTGGACTATATAGACTTGAATTGGATCACCATTAAGAACCTTAATCCCCTTCCTCTGGGTCCAGAATTATTTCAGAGACTCCCTTCAGCAGCCATTTTTACAAAGATCGATCAGGAGGGTGATGAATGGAAAATAGGCTTCTGTACATGCTTTTGCCATGTACCTTGTTATGCCATTCGTTCTTTGCAATATGCACCTAATGCTTTTCGGCATTGTGTTAACTACATTTTTCACGACTTTCTAGATTTGTTTTTGATAGTATATTTTGATGACATTCATCTTCCCCGGAATAGCATTGCAAGCATGTAAAACATGTTCTTGCCAGACTTAAAGTGACACTAAACTTAGAAGGTAAATCTTAAAAATGCATTCTATAACAAAAATGTATCCTATTTGTGTATCACTCAGCTGTAGAGCCTCAAATAAAACAATTGGGGCTGACACTGTCTTTCCTTCTGGAGGGTGGCTACTTTTGTGCCCCATGGTCCCTGTGTGTGTGTTGTAAAGTGGCCACCACTACAAGCTCACTCCCGCGATGGACTACAATCTCAATAAAAATTGGTAAACTAAACATGAGATGGAGCAGTGGCTACTTGGAGCAGTGGCTACTTTACAACGCACACAGGGACCATGGGCAACAAAAGTAGCCACCATCCAGAAGGAATGACAGTGTCAGCACCAATTCAGAGATGATTTGAGGATCTACAGCCGAGTGATACACAAATAAGATACATTTTTGGTAATAGTTAAGGTACTTGAATGCATTTTTAACTCCTGAGTTTAGTGTCACTTAAAGCTACATGGACTATATGCTAAACCTGAGAAGTTTAATTTGAACAGCAGTTTATCTTGTTCCTGGGTCTTGCCATCTCCATTAGTGGAATGGCAATGGCCCCCCAAAAGGTGGCTGCCATCTTGGAGTGGCCACCCCCAGTGGATAAAAAAGGGGTACAGCATTTCGCTGGATGTAACAACTTCTACAGGAACATTTTTTAGCAGCCTTTTTTAGCAGCATTTAATTGCAATGGCCGGTTTCTTGGATGTGAGTGGCCATCAAAAGATGGCCTGTTAGCCCTGCCCTCTAGCGTACGTGAGCGGGGAAACTGCCAGGACCAGCACGGTGGCTCTGTGACAGGGAATCAGAGGGAGATCGGTACACGATCTCCTCTCCGGTGTCAGAATGCGGAAGTGATGTATATTACATCACTTCCCAATTCTGCTTTCACTCTCCAGCTTCAGTACCTATCAGGGGAATTCCATCGGCAGCAGAAACAACATGCATCTTCTTCTGCAAGATAGTCTATAAAATAGAAAAATGCATGCTGGAAAAACCCCAAAAACGATCATTCTTTTTTTTCAAATACTGTCATCATTGGTCACATCTGCTGTTAAAAATGTTCTATGTAAAAATATTGCAGTGAGTGAATAACCGAATGCCGCCCAGCCGCATTCGGCTCGGCTATTCTGCTCGGTACCACAGGAGAAAATCTGTAAAATTTACAATAGAAAATCTGTAAAAAAACTTAGAAAATGATTGGGCGGAGCTAGCAGTGACAGTTCACGGCTGGCTCCGCTCAGTTGTCAGTAGCAGGCTTTTGGCTGGCCTATGGCCAGCCGTTTGGCCAGCTTCAGCTTTCACCTCGGCTCAGTCAAGCCGAAGCATATGCTATGGCTGATCCTTCGGCTAACTTTGTGAATAACCGCCACTAGTCTTACAATATGCAATGTATACAGTTCGTTTTTAATTGTTTGCTTTTTCTTTCATTATGGGTGTAAGTGGGGGCCTCACTTTTGAGTTTCGCCTAAGGCCTCACAAAGTCTAGAGCCGCCTCTGAGTCTAAACTTCATTTCCCACAATAAGGCATGCCAAGAAGCAATGGCTAAGGCACAGAGAGGCAACAAGAGGGCCTTTGACAAGAGGAGAGTTGGATCTGAAGCCTTGAAATTATCACTGCTAGTCAACAATCAACCTGAAACTAGCCTGAAAACCTTAAATTTGGACCCAAGTACATTGGTCTATTTCCAGTTGACAATAACATTAACACAGTCACATACAAACTAAAGGTTCCAGAGTCATTTAAGATCCACCCTGTATTTCATGTTTCCCTGCTAAAACGTGATGTGCCTGATCCATTTCTTAACTGTGGTTCAAGCCCTGCTGACCCTATGATCACCGATAAGGAAGAGGAATTCAAAGTTGAAACCATAATGGACTGCAGAAAATGCAGAGGTGAAATTCAATATTTAATTAAATTGAAAGGATATGGGCCAGAGGAAAACTCATGGGAATAAGGGACTAACGTGCATGCCAATAGACTGATGATGATGATTATTTTTATTATTATTCAGGATTTATATAGCCCAAAACAGTTTGTGGAGAGCTATAAGGAAGACATTAAATGTTACAATACCAATCAAGACAAGATGGTAAGAAGGGCCCTGCTCATGAGAGCTTACAATCTGATGCAAGCATTTCTCTGGGCACATCCTAAAAAGAGGAGCCAGATGGACATTTGGACGCTGCCCCTCTGGAAGGGGACAAAATTGTGGCACCAGGTGAGCTATTTAAGGCTAAGACCTGCAGGAGTCCAGTGTTAAGAGATCTTCAGCTGTACCCTGTGACCCGTGATACTACATCTTATTCTGATTTTCTCTTACCTACCTGGCATATCCCCCCAACTCTTCTGTGGCACTCCTCAGTTGTTGTTTGTTCCTTCGGCTTGTTTCCTGACTATATTTACTCACCACTTCATACCTTGCTCCTTGCAAGTTGTTGACCCGGCCTGTCTCTGACCCTTCTTCTGCCTACCATATTGGTACTATATTATCTGCAAGCTGCTTTCCCTGGCCTGTTCAACTCTCATCACGGATGACCTGCACCCAGTCGCCTCCAGACAACGGAGTTCTCAAGTTTCTGTGATTCAAGCGTTATCACTCACTAGTACTTGTGCCACTCCTTCATCCCTGCACTCTCTGTCCCACTACTTGGACTGAAGCAGTAACAGAGACTGCCCTCATCACCTCAGTTTCCCAAAGAGGTATGTGACATCTGTTAAGGGGACACAAATGACAAGCTGGTTCATATAAAAAAAAAAAGATAAGAAAATTAGCCCCATTACACGTTCTAACAATTTGGAAAATCTCTGCGAGCAATAACAACAGCATAGAACATTAAAAGTGCTTATTACGTGCCCCCAGGCTAGCCTTAAATAGCCTTATCCACAAGTGAGCATCCCAGTAGCTGGAATGATCCATGCCACTTGACTTTCTTTTAGTGTTGGGTAGAAACTTGTACTGCCTTTAACAAAAACAAAGATCTGCTGTATACTGGCCCATTATCTCTTACAGACCAGTAATTAAGTTAAAGTGACATTTAGAGCTTTAGATTGGCAGCAGGACTGTAGATAATAAACACATGAATTCTTGGCACAAAATGCATCTTGCATCTCCTCATAGTGTTGTTATGTCAGTCCTGCCCAAGTCTCCAATTCTGGGATACAGAACACCTCCAACCCTCCTCATCTCCATAACATATGGGTATACTGTAGTTCACAGTGGAGAACTGGACAGGGCTGACAATACTGATTATGATTTCAGTATAGCAGAGGCAGCTTACCAGATCTCTAAAGGAAGTTAGGAGCTCACTGAATTTCTGGCAGGATCATCAGGTATTTTTCTGTACTTGCAGGGAAATACAGCATTTGTGGATAAAACATGGGGAAATGCAGGCCCGGATTTCCCACAAGGCCACTGAGGCCCGGCCTCGGGGCGGCAGGGCACAGAGGGCGGCAGTGGTGTCCTTGTGGGGAAGTTGCCGGCGCCCACAATGAGGAAGTCGATTGTTCGTTTACATCTTACATCTTGGCGCTGTAGCCGAGATGACATGTAAAAAGTCTGCAGCCGGCCGGTCCGTCCTCATCGCCCCACCCCTGCACTTACCTCTCTCCTCCGGTTCCGTCCTCCGGCGCCGAGTCTCTCCTCACTGCAGGTAGCAGAGCGGCAGGGTTAAAAGTAAAAGTAACCCTGCCGCTCTGTGTAGACTGTAGACAGTGAGGGGAGAGCTGTGCTCTTCCTCTCTCACCTGTCACAGGAGTTCCAGCACAGTGTTGTGCTAGAATTCCTGTATTGGAGGTGACAGGGTCAATAAGGAGAACCTGTCACCTCCAATTGCTATCACACAGGGGCTTGTTATCTCCTGTGTGATAGCAATAAAGTTAGATGGAAAACAAAATTAAATTGATTTAAAAAATGTTTTAAATAAATAAAAATTTTAAAAAAATGAAATAATGAAATAAAAAAATAAAAAAATAAAAAGGCGATTTGCGGAATCTGGCCTTGGGGCGGCAGGGAGAGTAAATCCGGCCCTGGGGAAATGTGTATATATCTTGTGACAGATGGATGGTCTGTCACTGTGTCAAGATGTAGATACCGGTAGTACCAGTTTGAAGCCTGACACGTTGAGAGCCTGTGTCCAGGCCTGTATTGCATACACAGACAGGTATAGACGAGGCGCTGGATTTAAATATTCAGAAGAACATTTAGAACATGATGAAGCACAACGTCTCCATTATTAAACACAAGCATCCAGCTTCTTCAGGGCTTAAACATAATGGGTAATATTATGGACTCAAAACTCCCACAAATCATCAGGGATTCATTATTTGCTGTGTTACTTGGGTATGCACTAATTTAGTGAATCAACAAATGTTTTGCTGATTTTGGCTTTACCCAAGTAACACAGCTGAATTAAAGTGAACATGTTGGTGTAAATAAATCAATCCATTGTGAGCTCTGAACGTATATTTGCCCAAGACACTTAAAGCTCAGTCAACACATGCAAGGTTATGCTACTGCGAGACGCCATAAAAGCCATATCGCTGAAAGAGCTTACAGGTCGAGTCCAGTTATGACCCACAATGATACCATGGCTTGTACATGCCCTGATTGTACTATGGCTGTTGTGACACAGAATAAAATAGTCAAACATCTCTCCTGACATCGCATTTTGTGATTGGAGGAGGCGAGAAAGGGGTGGGAATGTGACATTATCTTTCTTTCTCCAATCACAGAATGTCTTGTATTCTTTAAACAAATGCAAGACATTTTGTGATTGGACAATAGTGAAGAGGGATGGGTGATGCGACCAGAGCACTATACAGCTTGGTTCACATCTCTCACTTTCCTCAGTGCCTGGAAGACTGGCATTGTGTTGAGGACGGCATGCTGCAAGGTAAGCTTTTTATACTTTGCAGCAGCCCTCTGCACATAACACACAGCTTTTTAATGATAATTTACACACCCAGTGTGGCATGTAAATGATAATTTTGCCCAGAGTGCGACTTTAAAGAGAAGCTGGTTTATGTGAAGAGTTAACTGCAGTACATACACAGCACTAAATGTGAATATTTGTGTCTTGAAGAATGTGGTAATCCATTATAAGAAAACCAGCCATACAAGGCATTCAAGTTGTTGGCTGAATGTTGCAAAGGTAAAAGGTAGATGTCCATATGTAATGCTGTTCCAGTCACAATATACAGTTTCTAACATTGATGATTTTATAAATCAGTCCAGTTAAACTAAAGCATATGTGCAGGATAGATCTCAGTCAAAACACAGAGCGCAGTCTGTAGCTGTGTTTATGAGGAAATTGGTTAACAGAAATCGCCATGTGGCTGCGTGAAGAGCGTGGAACCTGGAACGCCAAATGCAGATTCCTCTCCCCCTGGCATGTTTCACCCACAGTCTCTCAGAGGTCCTGACCTTTGGTAAAGGTTCAATTTGTATTCCATTGATAGAGATGCTTCTGTGTCTCCGAATCTCTTTTATTGCTATACTCTATTATTTTAGCAAGTGGATGCAGAGATGCCTGATACTTTGCTTATGTAAACTCACCTCAAGCTGTAGGTCTCTGTTCTTCATGACAGCATTGGTTTTCTCCTCGCTTAGCTGGGCATATTTCATGGCTAGTTCATAGATCTCATCTTTGCATTTCTTTAGCTCCTTGTTGAAGTTGTCCCGTTCTTCCTTCATTTTCTGAACCCTCTCCTGGTACTTCTTCAGCTCGCTGTTCTTCACCTGCAACTGCCTGATGCTGGCATCCTTTTCCACCATCTGGGCATTTAGCTCCTTGTACTTTCTGCGCTCTTCTTGGATTGTCTGCTGGAGCTTCAACATCTCATTCATGAGCAGTTGGGTCAGACTGGACTCGCCAGCAGTGTCTGCATCAGAGAAACAAACATTCAAAACCTTTTTTTTTTTGGATGTAGTGGGGTAGAGTTAGATCTTCTGTCAACTTTTCATTGCTGTCTCCTCACTTCCTGACAATTTACAATTTTCAGGCAGAGTAGGAAGTAATGGGAATCACTCAAGATCGGGGCACTGACAGCAATAATATGAAATTATATCAAAAGCAAACTTTTCAGAATTGGATGTTGTGTGAAGGGTTAGAAATCCTGCCAGGTTTTTACTGCTGTCCGTGCCCTAGCTGTAAACAGTTAGGCATGATGCCAAACATAGATTTTGGGCTTATATACACCTTTGGTAGACTACAATTCTGCATTAAAGAAACAAAAAGATTATAAATGTGTGGTAAGGCAAACCTTTAGGTCCCTATACAAACTAAAGAGGTATGCTCCTGGGGGAGGGGGGCAATCCCCCATCACCCTGAATCACCATCTGAGCCCAAAAGAAATAGCCTATATGTCCAGTCTGTATGAATGTTAACATATGTCTGTATTCCATCTGGAAAGATTCTCCACACATCCTAAGGAAGGGAGGGTGAAATATTCCCTAGTGGGGACACAGACAGCTTTTAAAAACCTCACAGGATCCAAGTCTTTCCCACTCTATCCAAAATTAAAAATGTTGGAATGAGGAACTTAAATTTTCCTTCCTCTTCCACCTCACTCCACAGAAAACACACTGAACATATTTTTTTGCTTTTAGTCTATTTTAAACCATTTCTGAAAATTTGGTAAAACCAGAAGAAATTATTGAAGAGTGGTTGCCTTAGGCCTACGTTCTTTTCCAATAAGCAACTACACTGAGTGGCCAGTTTATTATGACCACCTGACGTTTGTAGGCAAATTAGCTATAATTTCGCGCTGAAGTTGCTAGAGGGCCAGACCATTATAAATAGGGAAGCAGGTTGTTTTTTTTCTGAAAATATGGGTAAACACCGCGATTTAACAGTCTTTGAACGTGGGATGATTGTTGGCGCGGAGCCATGGAGAAAGTATCAGCAAAACAGCAGAATTCGTTAAATGTTCAAGAGCAGCTGTTGTTAAAGTGTTTAAAGACTGGACTGTCAGCCGAAAATCTGGGTCTGAACGTGTGAATTGTGGCTGTCAGCGACTAGTCAATGTTAGGGCAGAACGTAGAGTGGCAAGATTGGTACAAGACAACAGAAGGGCAACAGTGCAGTCAGATTCCTCGCATCACCTTTCAACATCTTGTGGAGTCATCTCGTGGCCCAACGAAGTACTGATGGGGTGGTCATAATAATCTGGCCACTCAGTGTATGTGACTGTTTGCTTCCTTTTTATTGTTCCTCTTTATATCTTTTGGACTTTTGCACAACTTTGTGCTTGTGAAACCCAACACTCTGAGCAGAGAATCTGTTATTCGTGCCTGCAATGTATTTGTTATTATGTTGTTTTTGTAAAATACTTGCTAACAAGAGTTAACAAAACAGTGCTGACAAAAATAAACCAAGCAACTGAAGGCCCGCATGTGGCAGCAAATTCCTTTCTGCTCTTTGTAACAACAAAAAGAAAGAGAAAAAATACTCTGTGCTCACATACTGACTCAGTTAAGCATAAATATAACCTTATCAGTAGTTATCTGTTGCAGAAAGGAGCTGCTGTACCCACCGAGGAGCAAGAATGAAAGCAGATACATTTATAAAGTCAAGCATGGATGAGCCAGGCCAATATAAACTCACCTATGATCATTGAAAAGACACGTGAGGGCTCCTTGCCAGTGATTTTCATGTACAGGTGAGGGTAATACAGCTCCAGACTTTCCAGAAATGCACCATAGCCCTGATACCCCGTCCTCTGGAGGATATCCAGCAAGACACCTAATATCACAAGTATGTGGGAGGTTTATTACTGTTCACATTTACTAGGAAAAACTGATGTATGCATCAACAGGAGAGAGAAGAAAGAGAGAGGAAGAGAAAGAGAGAGAGAGGAAGAGAAAAAAAAAGAAAAGAGGAAAAATAGAAAGGAAAGAGGAGGGAGAAAGAGAAATGAGAAAGATAAGGAGAGGAAACAGGAGAAATAGAGTGAGACAGAAAAAAAAAGGGAATAGTGCGGGTAGGAAGAAAGAAAGTTTGGAGAGAAAGAGGACAGCTTGCGTGAAGGAGAGATAGGTCAGAGGGAAGGACAAAAGGAAAGTTGGAGTAAGATAGCTAATGAAGGAAGGAAGATAAAGAGGTGTATCCAGAATTATTTTTTTAAATCTGGTAACTTTTCCACAGAAAGGGCACTTACCCACTTTTCTCTTGCGGATAACGAGGCTGGGGTCATTAAAAACCTGCTCTTCATCATCACTGTTGAGGACACGACACTGGCGCAGGTATGGAGTAATCCTGTTTGGGTCAATGACGGAAATCAGTTTGACCCGGTAGTGTTCCAGCTTGCTCCAGCACCCTTCATCCTCTTCCTCAGACATAATGTAAGGGAATCAAGGCAAAGGCCTGTAAAGGTACCATAAAATGTGGCAAGTCAACTTGGGTACCAGATGTCCACCTTCCCAGCATTTTGTGAGCATTAACATAACAAAACTCTATTGTAAAGCTGCGTCTACTGTGCATTGAAAACTTGGAAAGGAAGCGCTACTACCCTATAGAAAAAGTGTGGTCACAATAATGGGTAAAATGTAATGGCTAACTCTCAGATGTAAGCATCAAGGAAAAATAGAAGTAACTCACTGTTGGTAGTTCTGTATCTGTCCAGAAGGTGGACAGATACAGACTAATATATGTTGAGTTTGAACATACCACCATGATTTTACATGCCTTCACGTTCTATCTGCTTAGAACAGTTTAATTAATACGATGTCTTAGCCGCAAACCACACCTCCCTTTAACTCTGCACCAGCCAGGAATCGACACGGGAGGTGCACCCGCCCACCTGTCACATTTAAATAAATTGTTCTAGTTTCCCGCTCGTTCTTGAATTCCTTGTACGGCTTGAGAAAGAGGCACCGGCATCGAAACGCGTAGCCAACCATTGGACAGCCGCCTCCCAGCCCCTCACTGACGTCACACTGTCATCCCACTGTGCTCCCCATTGACAGATAGACTCAGCGAGCTGCGGCTGAAGTGACAGTGCTGCAGCGGCATCCTCCGCCGCTCTCTCATTGATTCGAGCAGGCTCAGCCTGGCCAGCTGAGTTCCGCCGTTTCGCCCTATGGTACATCCCACAGTTACCATCCACCCCAGACCTATTCGATTGAGCACTATTGTCCACTGCTTCCCCCGAACCCCCCCCCACGCCACCTTCTGGACAGATACAGAACTACCAACAGTGAGTTACTTCCATTTTTCCTTGATGCTTACAATTGAGAGTTAGCCATTACATTTTATTAATTATTGTGACCACACTTTTTCTATAGGGTAGTAGCGCTTCCTTTTCCAGTTTTCTTTGTCTTATATACGGGGTTCCTCTCCCTGTTCATGGAGGCTGCACACCGCTCCCCCTCATTAGTCTTTTAACATATTTCCAATTGTCCCCAGAGGAGTGCGCTTACTACTTTTTTTGTCTACTGTGCATAGCATACTTCAGCAAGCTGATAGATTGTATTTGCCAAGGAACACTGAGCGGAATTCATCAAAACTGGAACAGACAAAATCTGGAGCAGGTGCACTGGGCAACTAATCAGCTTCTCTCTTCAGTTGTTCAGTTAAGATTTGAAAATGAAAGAGGAGATACAAAACACAAAAATTCCCCAGCCTCAACCTGCCAGCTAGCCTGCAACCAAACAAATTGCCCTGTCAACAGTATGCGTTAAAATCAGAGGTTTTAGTTGCACAAACTTTTGGCCAAAAATATGTAGAAGCCACACTGCCACGCCAAGGCACCTCTGCAAAGTGTGGTCCTAACTCTATGTATCCGAGTCTCCAAGTGTGAGCATATTAATGAAGTCGATAAATTACATGCAGGTGTACCTGGAGGTAGCCAACTCCTCCCTAATAAGGTGCAGGGATGCACTGGAGGCCCAGCAACCAAAAATGCACGCTGGGACTCCAGTGCGTCCCCCAAACCAGAAATAGTCAAACTACAAAAGATGGTACATGCATGAATCTATAACCAGCCTTTATAGCAGGGCGCACATTGGGAAGGCTTACAAACAATACAAAACACAAAAATTCCCCAGAGATGCCGATTGGTTGCCGTACACAGCTGCTCCAGATTTTGTCTGCTCCAGTTTTGATAAATTCCCCTCACTGTATTTGTCCAGAAAATTCACAACCTAAGATGCCTTGCCAGCTGCTGTCCACTCTGAATACAAAACAGATATAATCAAAGATAAGAAAAAAAGTAATGTGTTCCTGCTATTAATAATCTAGAACAGTAAAGATCCTAAAACCAATTATATTCCACACACTTTAAGATGGCAAAAAGTACCAGCTGAACCAGGCCAAGCAGATCAAACTGGTGGTACCCTGGAAACAATGCCAAGCAGCACCATCTGTTGGTACGTTCTGGACCATGCCAACAAGCAGCTACCACTAATGGTACCATTTGAACCAGGTCAGGCAGATCTGCACCCTCAAAACATTTTCAAACACCTCACAAAGTGATACCCTAAGAAAAAGGGTGAACTGCTCCAAGCAGGGTTACTCTCAAAATAAGGCAATGTAGCTCTCAAGGACTGTAGCCTAAGAGCAGTTTCACTGTGAGCTTTAGCCAAGCAGTGGGTGGTTTAAGTCATGGCACCCCTGCTGGCGAGTATTTACAAGACTTCTCACTGAATTTCTTTAATAGATCAGGAAAGGCTATGAACCACAATTTGAAGTAGTCATTGTCCAACTGTAAGGTCAAGTTTTAGTTAAAGGGTAACATGTAACCATCAGTGAAGCTTTACAAGCTCCTTATCTTCCATAGGAATAGTATAAATCCTTGCTGACAGTTAGGCACCATTCACACATTAGCGTTAATGTGCTAAACATAAAAAACAGTTCATCCAAATGTATCTTGCTCACACGTGTGCAACATCCGGCCAGTACGAAAACGCACATAACGTAAAAAAAGTACAAGTGCGATATTCTGGGAATATTCCGCACGTATGTTAAAATTTATGCGGTTTCTAGCCGCATGGTTTTCCACAAATGCCATGTGTGAATGGAGCCCTAAGCTGGGTATAAATGCTCATATTTTCTTTGATCAACCTGCTGCCTGAACAAAAAAAATATAAAAGATTCCTCCATCCATGGCGGACAGACTGATTTGCTGCAAGCACTGTTCGGCCAAAGAATTCCCAACATGTTCCTTTGGCTAATAATAGATTTCTGCTGATGGACTAGGGTACACATGGAGTGAGTTTCAGCAGATTCCTTAATTGGCTGAAATTCACATCATGTGTACCCTACTTTGCAGTGAATTATATGTGCCTTAGTTGAAATAATCCTTTTGATCTGACCCAATTTATGCAGCCGGTACCAAAAGAGCAGATGCCACCAATGAGACGGAGGTGTAAAAGATGACATTTTCTTTAACGAGCGGTCTTTCAAAAGTGGCCATGAAGCATTTGTGTTGTCTACGTAAACCCATCTGTCCTCTGACATCACAAAAATAGAAACTTTAACTTTCATTTTAGGCGTCACAAATAACCCTTTCTATAAATGTCTACATACAGTGTATGGGAGAACAGAATGTTTTTTATGCACACATTTTAACAATGTGTTTCCTTTATTGAGTAAATAAAGCAAACTCAAAGCTTTTTATCTATTTTTGTCTTTTCCCATTGTTATATTGAGTATACTGGTAAGTTAGGTTTTGCAAAGTCTTTGCACTATATTCATGTCAAAGCATGTAATGCCGTCAACAGTTGTCAAACAAAACAATGAAAAGATGTCTAAATAGATAACATATAAGTTAAACTGGTTTGGAAATATCCACTGTGTCATGCAGCCTATATGCAGGCCGAATTTCCCACAAGGCCAGGGGTGAAGAATCTCCCAACGCCCGGGACATGCAGTTCTGGGCGGTAAGTTGTTTTCTACATTTAGCCCTGCTTTGGGCAAGCAGGGCTAACTGTAGAGCTGGGAAGCAGCTCGTTTGTTTATAAAAGTTATCCTGGCAATGTTGCCAAGATCACTTGTAATAAGACTGCAGGTCCATCCCCCCCCCCCGCCGCCCCCTGCCCTGTTTCTCTCTTCTCCCTGGAGATCTTCCTGCTCTGTCCTCCCAGCTGCGTCCTCTCCCCGCGGGCTGTGTCCTCTCCCCGAGGCCCCCCCGCCATGTACCTATCTTTGCTGATCCTCAGGTTAGAGAGGGCGGAGCAGGGTAGAGAATGTCCGTTCTATGCTCTGCTCCATGTAAACAGTGCGAGGGGTGAGCTGCACTCGCAACCTTCCCATGTCGGCAGTCACAGGAGCTCCAGCATAGTGCTAGAACTCCTGTATTGGAGGAGACAGGTTCAATAAAGAGAACTTTATTCACTTGTTAGCTCCTGCATGACAGTTAAGTAATACAGTTACGTTTTTTTTAAAAATTGATTAAAAAAATTAAAATAATAATAAAAGGTAAAAAATTATAAGATTAAAATTATAAAATAAAATGGCGATTAGAAGTTATCCACTCCCGATATATATTCTTTAACTGCCTTGACTGAATCTGATACTCTGCATCTTTCTGGGAAGTGCTTAAGAGATTGGCTGTAAGGCTCACATCAGGGAGCGGGTGGGGGGTGGATTGATTGATTGTAATTATATTGTAATAATTTACCTGTGCCTAGGGGAGGGGGAGGGTTATGGTCAGAGGGTTAGTTATTGGACCTTGCATGTAACCCTGCAGCCCCCGCCATCTATGTATAATCAAGATATAAATGCTTAGAGGTAACCCCCAAGGCCTTTAGTGACAGTTTTTCTATAGGTTACACAGATCCCCAAACCTGTGAATTAAATTGTTTAGATCCTCCTAACCCTACCAGTGCCAAAAGTGCTACATTATTAACACTCACTGGGGAGAGAAGGGGAGGCTGCAGGAAAACAACTGCAGGCTATGGATTGTGAGCTGTGCAAAGAGCAGCACTAAGTTGCTCTAGGCTCAAACTGTATGCAGTCTGTTAATTCTATGATTAGATATTGATTGCAGCAAAATGGATTACATGTTAGAGAAAATGACCGATTACAAAAACCCAAGCTTTTCTTCAGTTTTTTTTATTGGTCACTTTGTTCACTCCTGTGACACTCATTGCCACTTAAACCAGCGGCTCCCATCGCCAATGTGTCATTTAAAAGTGTGGATACTGGGGATGTCATTGTAGTGAACAAGCAGCACAGGAGTTTGAACTGTTAAGACTTTACAGGCTGTATGCTTGTTCTAGATGATTTCTGAACTGCATACTAATTTTTACCTCCGAATATTGATATACTGTACAGCAGGGGTGCCCATTAGGTAGATCGCAAAGCGAACACTGGTAGATCGCGATCGGCTCACTGACCTGTGTCCTGTCCTCTCGTCGTGCTCGTGCGGCTGAGTGTGTCAGATGCCGCAGACGGGAAGGAGAGAGGAGACTCGGGAAGCTGCTGCAGTGGAGGTAAGAAAAGACAGACAGGAGAGAGACAGCAGAGAAAGTGAGAGAAGAGACAGGAGAGAGACAGCAGAGAGAGAGGAGAGAGACAGCAGAGAAAGTGAGAGAGACAGCAGAGAGAGAGGAGAGAGACAGCAGAGAAAGTGAGAGAAGAGACAGCAGAGAGAGAGGAGAGAGACAGTAGAGAAAGTGAGAGAAGAGAGACAGCAGAGAGAGAGAGAAGAGACAGCAGAGAGAAACAGGTAAGAGAGAAATAGAGTGTGAGGAGAGAGAGAAGAGAGGGCTGGTTCACACCACAAAGTCTGCGTTCCAGAGTGTTCGGTCCTCTAGAACGCATTGGAACACAAGCCAGCCAGCTCCCTGCGTTCAGGGGCGGGAGGGGGCGTGGCGGTGCATTGAAGTCAATGGCACCACAGCCACGCCCCTCGCTCTCAGTGTGATCACCCGAAACGCAGGCACAGTAATGCCTGCGTTCCGGTCCAGCGCGATCTGCAAAAATGCAGCATTTTTGCAGATCGCATTGGACCGGAACGCAGGCACTAATGTGCCTGCATTCCTGGTGCGGCGATTGCACTGGGGGCGTGGCTGCAGTGCTATGGACTTCAATGCACTGCCACGCCCTGAATGCAGGTGTTTTTTCGTTGGTAGAT